CGAATCTTAGCCGTGATCATTATTAAGTATGAGCAGTAGAGATGGAGAGAAGTAATTCTAGAGATATTTAAGAAGTGGAATGTGAGGGCCAAGGACAGGGAGGAGCCAAAGATGACTCCCAAGCTTCTGGCTAAACTGTGTGTATGTGGTACTAACACCTAGCTACTTAGCTTAGAGAGGCCAGGGCTGTGAATGAGCCTGAGGAGGCTGGTGAGGAGGGAGGGAGGAGAGGTCCAGTAGGTCAGCACATGTTTGAGTCTGGAACTTAGAAGAGCAATCCTAGCAATTTAGGACTCCTAAACTGTGGTAGCTACTCTCCAAAGATGGCCCCTACCAGTTCAGGACTCCTTGTATTCATTGAATCTGGGCTGACCTGTGACAACCTCTAATGCAGCAGAAGTCATGCTGTACCAGGTCCAGGACTAAGCTTTAAGAAGATGCAGCAGCTTCTACTCTTGCTTTTGGGACCCCTAATCTCTCATGTGAGAAATCAGCTACTCTGCTGCAGAGATCATCTGGAGAGAGAAGCTTTGACATGGAGAAAGAGAGGTCTAGCCATCCCAGCATTCCAGTCATTGCCACCAGAGTGTGAGACAAGCGAACCAGCCATCTTGGACGTTCCAGCTCCGGTTACCTTCTGACTGTAGCCACATGAGACACCCCAAGTAAGACAGCAGAACTGTCCAGCCGAGCCCCCATCAACCTGGAGGATCATGAGAAGTTATAAGCCACTAAATTTAGAATAGTTGGTTAGGCAGCGATAGTTCCCTAAACAGAATGAAATGGATGAACTCTAAGCCCAGGTATAGAGTGAGAAGAGAAGAGCCAAGGCACCCCACATGCAAGGACCAAGCTGAGGGAGAAGGCTTACAAGGGAGACAGAGATAAACAGGACGGAGGGAAATCCCCGAGAGCATGGTGTCCTGGAAGTGGTGATAAGTGCTCAGGAAGGAAGATTGGTCAAAAATATCAAATGCCAGCGAAAGAACAGTTAGGTAAGTGTGGTAACATGGGAGTCAGTGACCTTGACAAGAACAGTTTCAGTGAGTCCTGAGGGCAGACACCAGATGCAGTGGGTTGAAGAATGAAAAAGCAACAAAACCAAACAGACTGGAGTTACGGGTTTTGGGTTTTTTTTTTTTTTTAAGATTTTATTTATTTATTTGACAGAGAGAGAGAGAGAGAGATCACAAGTAGGCAGACAGGCAAGCAGAGGGAGAGGGAGAAGCAGGCTCCCTGCTGAGCGCAGAGCCCGATGTGGGGCTCGATCCCAGGGCCCTGGAATCATGACCTGAGCCAAAGGCAGATGCTTAACCATCTGAGCCACCCAGGCGTCCCTGTTTTTGTTTTTTTAGAATTACACCTATTGGGGGCACTTGGGTGGCTCAGTCCATTAAGCATCTGCCTTTGGCTCAGGTCATGATTCCAGGGCCCTGGGATCGAGCCCCACATCGGGCTCCCTGTGCACTGGGGAGTCTGCTTCTCCCCCTCCTTCCCACTCGTGCTCTCTCTGGCAATCTCTGTCTCTCTCAAATAAATAAATAAAATATTTTTTAAAAAGAGAGAACTACACCTATTGACCTGGGTGAATCTCACAAGCATAATGTTGAGGGGGGAAAGTTGCTGAACACTATACCTGGGAGGACAGTATTTATATAAAGTTTTAAAACATGTGAATATTAAAAACTCAATAATAAAAAGACAAATAATCCAATTAAGCCATGGGTAAAGGATCTTGAAATGGACTGAACAGTGCCCCCCCCCCCAATTCACGCTCACCTGGAGCCTCAGAAGTTGACCTTATTTGGAAATAAGGTCTTTACAGATAAAATCAGTTAAGTTGAAATCAAGGGATCAAAATGAGGTGAAGTGGATTAGGGTGGGCCCTAAATCCAATGACTGGTGTCCTTACAAGGAGAGGCGAGGACTCAGACACACACAGGGGAGAACACCATGTGAAGACGGAGGCAGAGATCGCAAGGATGTGTGTACAAGTCAAGCAGATAAAGTTCACATAACTGGAAACCATGTTACCCACTTTAAAGTGGACAGTTGAGCAGGTTTTAGTATATTCTCAATTTTGTGCAACCATCACCACTAATTCCAGCACATTTTCATCACCCCAAAAAGAAACCCTATACCCATTAACAGCCTCTCCCAATTCTGCCTTCCTCCCATCTCCTGGTAATCACTAATCACTCTCTGTCCCCTGGCAACCACTAATCCACTCTCTATCTCTGTGGCTTTGCCCATGCTGGACATTTCCTATAAATGGGACTGATACAATATGTGGCCCTTTGTGCCTGGCTTCTTCTACTTAGCATAATGTTTTCAAGGTGTATCCACGTCGTAGCATGGATCAGCACTTCATTCCTTTTTCTGGCCAAATAATACTTCATTTTATGGATATACCACATTCCAGTTTCTCCAGTCGTCAGTTGATGGACATTGAGTTGTTTCCTCTTCTTGGTTATTACAAATAATGCTGCTATGAACACTCTTATACAATTTCTTTTTGAGGTGATGACCATGTTCTAAATTTGACTGTGGCGATGGTCACACAACTCTGTGGTTATGCTCAAAGCCATTGAACTGTACACTTTAAATAGTGTATATGAAGTATATCTCAAGAAAATTGTTACTCCCCAGAATGCAAAAACTATATTGTTTTGAGATGCCTATGTACACAGTAAACGTTTATGGAAACACATGGAAATGATACCACACTCAGGAAAGCGGTTGTCTCTGGGGAGAAAGGAAGGGGATGTGATTGGGGACAGGCATCAGGGGCCTCAGCGGCAGGGTACGACTTTATCTCTTAAGCTGGATGATGGAGATGTGGGTGTTCATTATATTAGTCTTTAAATTTTTTGCACGATTGAAAAGTTACACATACATTTAAAAATACAGGAATGAATGGGATAAACAGGATATTTGCAACATGCAAAAATCACCACATACTAACAACAAAGAGAGAGAAAAAAATGTATCTTTTTCATGGTGAGATCTGTTAATCCCTCCTTATTTATTTAAGGTCCAGAAAACCCCTAGGATGAACTATGCCATCCAATTAGGGAGCCACTAACCACATGTAGTTATTGAACAATTACAATGTGACTAGTCTGAATTGACATATGCTGCAAGTATAAAATAAACGCCAGGTTTCAAAGACTTACTACAAAAAAAGTAGAAGATCTCATTAGTATTTTTATTATCAATTACATGCTGAAATAATATTGTTTTGTATATGTTGAGTTAAATAGAATGTATTATTAAAATTAATTCGTCTGTTTCTTTTTTTTTTAAGATTTTATTTATTTATTTGACAGAGAGAGACACAGCGAGAGAGGGAACACAAGCAGGGGGAGTGGGAGAGGGAGAAGCAGGCCCCCCACAGAGCAGGGAGCCCAATGCGGGGCTCGATCCCAGGACCCCGGGATCACGACCCGAGCCGAAGGCAGACGCCCAACGACTGAGCCACCCAGGCGCCCCTCGTCTGTTTCTTCTTGCTTTTTAAGTGTGACTATTAGAAAAATGTAAATTACATTTGAGGGGATGAAAGTACAAGTGAACAAGAACATGGGGAAACAATCAGACAAGTCAAGAATTTGGGACAATTTTACAAGACATTTCTCCTAGACTTCGATAAGTCAATGTTGTTGGAAAAAAAAACCCAAAGGAGCTATTCTAGATTAAAAGAGACAAAAGAGATATAAGAACCCAATGCAGTGCATAGGCCCTGATTGGATCAGGATTTCTTTTCTTTCTTTTTTTTTTTAAATGTAATTTTTTAAAAGTAATCTCTAGCCCCGATGTGGGGCTTGAACTCAAGACCTCAAGATCAAGAGGAAGAGTCACATGCTCTACTGACTAAGCCAGCCAGGTGCCCCATTTCTTTTAAGTTTTTAAAAAGACATTTTTGAGGGGCGCCTGGGTGGCTCAGTCGTTAAGCATCTGCCTTAGGCTTGGGTCATGATCCCAGGGTCCTGGGATCGAGCCCCGCATTGGGCTCCCTGCTCAGCGGGAAGCCTGCTTCTCCCTCTCCCACTCCCCCTGCTTGTGTTCCCTCTCTGGCTGTGTCTCTCTCTGTCAAATAAATAAAATCTTTAAAAAATAAATAAAAAGATATTTTTGAGACAACCTGAGAAAATCAAATAGAGACTGGATATTAGGTGATATTGTAGAGTTATAACTGACTTTGTTAGGTGTGATAATGCTGTGGTGGATATGCGGGAAATTGTTCTTATTCTTAGGATGTTCCCACTGAGGCTTTTAGGAGTGAAATGATATTAATGTTTGCAACTTACTTTCAAATAGCTTAACAAAAGAAAAAGTGTGTGTGTGTATGTGTAAAGAGAGAAAGGGGAGAAAAAGAGGGAAGGAGACAACAAAAGCAAATTTAGCAAAATGGTAATTATAGAATCTAGAAGGCTTTAAGGATATTCACTGTACTAATCTCTAAATTTTTGTTTGAGTTGATTTATGATGAAAAAGTTGGGGAAACAAGACAAAATAAAAAAAAGAATGAATGGGAGATGACGTGGAGACAATCCTTTCCAGAAGTTTGGCCTTGAACTGGAAGTGAGAGAGGGGACAGTAGCTGGAACAGGCATGTAGGATCAAGGAAAGCGTTTTTTTTTTTTTTTTTTTTTTTTTTTAAAGATTTTATTTATTTATTTGAGAGAGAGAATGAGATACAGAGAGCATGAGATGGGGGAGGGTCAGAGGGAGAAGCAGACTCCCTGCTGAGCAGGGAGACCGATGCGGGACTCGATCCAGGGACTCCAGGATCATGACCTGAGCCGAAGGCAGTCGCTTAACCAACTGAGCCACCCAGGCGCCCAAGGAAAGTGTTTTTTAAAATGGGGAGTTGAGGGACGCCTGGGTGGCTCAGTTGTTAAGCGTCTGCCTTCGGCTCAGGTCATGATCCCAGGGTCCTGGGATAGAGCCCCGCATCGGGCTCCCCGCTCAGCTGGGGAGCCTCCTTCTCCCTCTCCCTCTGTCTATGGCTCTGCCTACTTGTGCTCTCTCTCTCTGTGTGTCAAATAAATAAATAAAATTTAAAAAAAAAGAAAGAGGAGAATGAAAGATACAAATGGGAAGTCAGGGATGGTCAACCTTCTGACTCATGCCATGGGGATTCAGTAAGAGAGATTCAGTATTATGGGGATTAACATAACAATAAAAAATTTTTTAAAAAAAAGAGAGAGAGAGAGATTCAGTATTCCCCCAAGAAATACTCTACCCTCCTCTATCCCCAAGCGTTAAGAGAAAGTAAGTAATCTTGGTGGTGACACCTAGTGGATTCAAAGGGCACTGCTTAAATTCTCCCCTCTGCTCTCTATACACCTGATCAGGAGGGCATCTTCCTAGGCTGGTCCTCTGACCACTCCAAATCATTTGCACCCTTTTGTTCACTGCTAGAGCAGCCTAGGATGTGCAATGCTACTAAGTAAGGTCGTCCTCTCCCCACACAGCCCACAGAGCCCTTGACCACGTCTTGTGTCTTGGCCACTCTCCACACAGGGAGGCAGAACTCAGGCAGAGTGCAGGAAGGGACAAGAAAGGATAGTGTCCCCACCCCCCAGCTATAGTCAGGTGGCCACTGCAGTCTGGTGAGTGCAAGGTGGACATTTCTTAGTTATTCAAGCTTGTGGGGATTGTGCAGACCTTAAACCATGGGCTCTGGAGTCAGAATAACTGGGTTCAAATTCTTGCTAGCTATGAGAGTTGGCCTCTCTGCATCTGATGAGAAATTCCTCGTGACCTCAGTTCTCATCTGGAAAGTGAGACTGATAGAGTCAACCTCTTTGTTGGGAGAACTAAATGAGAGAACGCACGTAAAGCCAAGCATAGTGGGTGGTAAAGGACACCCTTCCAAATGTCAATTCTCATCATCACCCCTGAAGGGGAGCAGAGGACTGATGGGTCTGAAGATGGCCAAGATGGGGATGAGGGGAATAACCCATACCACTTTCCCTGCCCTCCCAGGGGTATAGGAGTAGGGACAGAAAGGAATGGCCCCTATGATCCTGCCCCAGGGCATGGAATCCTCCAGAGTGGGACCAGCACCCTTTGAGGAGGGCAGAACCTGTCCAGCCCCCACACATCTAGCTCCCCTCGTGACCAGTCCACAGGGCAGGGGCAGCTCCCAGTGCTGAGCAGTGTCTCCCAGTGCCTCATCCCTGACTTCCCACTTCACACTTTGGCCATCAAACCTGCTTTAAGTCCTGGGTCATCTCTTCCAAGAAGCTTTCTTTTACTGTCCCCCACCTCCTATCCCCAGACCAGTAGTGAATCTCTTTGGCTCAATTCCTAGAGGGCTTGTCAGCTTGTGTCTTGTCTGCACTTACAGCTCCTATTTCAACCAACCTAATTTATTCATTCAGCAAGTACGTATTGAATGCCTTCTCTGTTCCAGGTACTGTTCTAGGCTCTGGATAGCAAACAAGACATCCATGGAGCTGAGACCTAACATTCTTGTAGGAGCGGAGGCACGAAGAAAAAACAGAGAAGTATGTATGATGTTGGGGGTGATGAGTACCTTGAAGACAATACAGGGGGTAGGGGACAGAGAGGGAGGGATGGGTGAGATGGGGTCAGCGTGGTCAGGGAAGGCTCAGGAAAGAGCAAAAGTGATTCCCTGACACAGGAATGGGTGTTAGAGGAGTTTAGGAACGGTAAAGCAGTCAATGTGACTGTTGGGGGGGTGAGTGAGAGGAGGGGGGTAGGAGAGGTGGTCAGAGAGGGAGGACTTTGATTTTTAATGTGTTATTGGAAACAGGAGTGTTATGATCTGAATTGTTTTAGTTGAGATATACCTACAGTGAAATGTATAAATCTCACAATTCGGTGAGCATACCACACACACACACACACACACTCAGGTCAAGATATAGAACATTTTTACCACTACAGAGGACTTCTTCATGCCCCTTCCCAGTCAGTACTCTCCCCTGCCCATCAAGAAACCCCTATTTTTTACTTCTATCCCCATAGATTAATTTTGTCTGCTCTTGAACTTCTCTTAAAAAGAATCCTACAATTTGTAGTCTTATGTGTCTGGTTTTTTTCGGGGTTTTTTGTTTTGTTTTGTTTTTTTACTCAATGTTATGTCTGAGATTCAGTCGTTCGGGTAGTTGTTTGTTCTTTGTTTTTGCTATGTAGTATTCCACTGTAAGAAGATAGCACGCTTGATTTATCCATTCACCTGTTGAAGGACAGCTGAGCTTTCTCCAGTTCACTGTCGTTAATGAAACTGTTGTGATCACTGCTGTCCATGTCTTTCGGTAGACACAAGCACTGATTTCTCTTGGGAGTGGGAATTCTGGGTCACAGGTCAGGTGTACATTTGGTTCTGGTAGACACTGCCAAGCAGGTTTCCAAAGCGGCTGTACCAATGTATGCTCCCGCCAACGGTGTATAAAGGTTCCAATTGCTTCACATCCTCATTGACACTGGTATTGCCGCTGTTTTTATTTTTTATTTTTATTTATTTATTTTTTAAAGATTTTATTTATTTATTTGACAGAGAGAGACACAGCGAGAGAGGGAACACAGCAGGAGGAGAGGGAGAGGGAGAAGCAGGCTTTCCGCCGAGCAGGGAGCCCAATGTGGGGCTTGATCCCAGGACCCTGGGATCATGACCTGAGCCAAAGGCAGACGCTTAACGACTGAGCCCCCCAGGCGCCCCTATTTTTTTTATTTTTTAAAAAAGATTTTATTTACTTATTTTTCAGAGAGAGAGAAAGAGTGGGGGGAGGGGCAGAGGGAGAAGCAGGCTTCCCGCCCAGCAGGGAGCCCGATCCCGGGCTTGATCCCAGGACCCTGGGATCATGACCTAAGACGAAGGCAGACACTTAACCGACTGAGCCACCCAGGCCAGACACTGACAAGTCTCATGAGGTTGGCACCTTTCCCTCTCATCCACACTTTCAGTTATTCCAGAACAGCCCTGCTGAGGGACCCAGTGCACTGAAAGGGGGGTCCCCTCTTCCCTCTTCCCTCCCTCACCCCCTGCCCCCAGCCTCAGAGAAACAGAATGGAGAACAGCAAGCAGCTTGATTCATAGACTTTATCAGCTTTTTCTCACCCCCAGCGGTTTCTGCAGACCCCCGAGCCTGTCCGGGACACGCGGGTCACTCTGGCAAAGCTGGGGAGCAAAGCTGGGGAGCGGCGGGGCGGCATCAAGGCTAGGGGCGGGCGGCGGCGGACCCCAGGGCTTGAGGAGGGCTGTGGGAGCTGCGTGAGCAGGCTGCGGAGCGGGGAGGGAGCAAGGGTGGCCACGGGGAGAGGAGTGTGCGTGGGCCGCCGCAGGGAGGAAGCGGGGCGGGCGGGGCAGGGGCTCTGGTCACTGTCTGTAGGGGATGGAGGAGGCCACACGGTGCCTGTGTATGTGCGGCTGGGGGTGGGGAACCCATACACATTTCTGTGGCAGGAACCAGAAGGACCACTGTAGAAAAGGGACTGTACAACATAACCTATGATACAATGTTTACATATGATACAAGGCTCTTCCCCTCTTGGAGTTTTAAAAAATAGATTTACAATTCCAGAGCTTTTGGTAAAAAATATGTACACCCTCGGAACAGGAACAGCAGGGGTTTTCGCTGTTGCCGCCGCTGCCTCTTCAGAAGGGAAAGGGGGGGTGCCAAAAAGGGGGGTGAGGCTGTGCCGGGAAACCTCACCCGGTAGCTGCCAGGAGCCCTGCGCCCCGCGGCCCTGGAGGCCCGTGTGGGAGACGGTGGGGAGACACAGAGGTATTAAAGGCGTCACCACAGTCCAGTTCCACCTTGACAGGCTTGGCCATTGCCTCCCCTCTCACTTCTGGGTACAGGGGTCCACCCCCCCCAGCTCTGATGGGGAGGACCCAGAGGGAGTCAAGACAGGGGGAAGGCTAGAGACCATGTGGTTGGTGTCCCACCAGAGCCAGAAGGGGGGTGACAGCTCCATTCTTAACAGGAGACACCCCTAAAGCAGGAGGGTGGGCCCCAGACACCTCCAACTCCTGGTACCACCACATCCCACCCCACAATGCAGAGGGAGCGTCCTGTAGGCAGCTTAGGCCTGTTTCCCTGAGCATCTTTTACCCTTTCATTGGAGCCCCCCAGAGACCTCGGGGAGGCCTGCGTGGGGGCTCCCAAGGGCTGACAGGTTGCCCCCTGCCCCACAAAGAGCCTCACCCACAGGCTTGGGCATGCAGGGCAGCAAAAGGAGCTGAGCAGGGAGTGGTGAGGGTGGGGAAAGCATCCCGCACCACGGCAGGGCAGAGTAGACCAGGGTAGCACCAAACAGGAGGACCCCTCTACACACAATACCCTCCCTCAATTACCGGATGCACTCCTGCTTCTTAAAGGGGACAGGTGCACACACACACACACAGACACAAGGGCGATATAATATTCCAGGGGGTACATCCAGGGGTCCCAGCCCTGACCAGGGAAAGGCCGGACGGGGGGGGAAAGGAAGGCTGCCAATCCCTCCCACGATTCCGCTCTGCGAGACAGGAGGGTGGGCAGCTTTCCTGCCTGCTTGGGAGGAGGTTGGAAACTCCATCTCTGGAACAGACCTCGATGGGAGGAGACAGAGGAAGGAGCACTCTGCCCCCCTTCCCTGCAAGGGCAGGAACCAGCAGAGTATGGTTTTGGCTGGAAGGAGCAAGGGGGAGAGGGCTTCAGCAGGATGAACAGGCTTATGAGTCCAGGGGTTAAGTCCATCTGACTCTTTCCGGAGGGGTAGGAAGTTGCTCCAGTGGAAAGATGTCAGGGGTGGGTTGGGACATCGTGCAAAGTGCTTGAGTGCCAGGTGCCCGAGGACCTTGGTGGGCGCCGACCAGCACCTCTGTTCTCACTGACTATTAGCCTCCAGCTTGTAGGAGAGCTCAAAGAGGAGGTTCTGGTTGTCGATGACCTGGAACTGGCGTACATAGGCCTTGGTCTGCAGGTGATGGGGGGAAGCCTCCGTATCCAGGCCTAGGGGTGTGACGAGAGAGAAGCGCTCAGGCTCCCAGCGTCCCTTCTCACTCTACTGTGCATACCAGCCGGAGGACAGGGGTGTGGATCGGGACAGGTGCTGGGCAGGAGGGCCCCCAGGGAGGCCAAGGAGAGGGTGGAGAGCTGACAAGTTTAAGAAAACAAAGAACCCAGCAGGGACTCCTCCCGGAAGCCTCCCACTCAGGCAGAGCTCTATCTGTGAAACTCTCAGAATCCCGGGTACTGGGCGCCTGGGTGGCTCAGTTGGTTAAGCGACTGCCTTCAGCTCAGGTCATGATCCCAGGGTCCCGGGATCGAGTCCCGCATCAGGCTCCCTGCTCTGCGGGGAGCCTGCTTCTCCCTCTCCCACTCCCCCTGCTTGTGTTCCCTCTCTCGCTGTGTCTCTCTCTGTCAAATAAATAAATAAAATCTTTAAAAAAAAAAAAAAAAAGAATCCCGGGTACTCACAAAGGGGCCGGCTCCGGTATTTGCGGATTGTCCTCACTTTTTCAGCCACTGAATGCTGGGAGATGACAAGGAATGAGCCCTAAAAAGGGTACAGAAAGATGCTCCCCCCTCTAATGCTCCCCCTGCTCCGTTCTCCAACTCTGCTGGTTTGACCCTGCTCCCTCCAGGGTCTAATTCTGGAGGGTGTCTGAAGAACCAAAGGAGGGGTGTAACGGCCGTGAGGAGAGATGGAGTTGTGCCCCCCCCCACCCCCCAGATGCCTGTCAGCTTTGCCTCCCCGTGGGCGGGTTGCACAGCAATGCCATCAGGGACAGTCAGGAATCTATCAGGCAAGCTGGGCACCAAGGAGGAAGGCTGCTGTCTTTAGGGGGCTGCCAGGAGAGGGGAAGAATGCCAGCCCCCGTGCCCAGGCCAGGGTCGGCAGTGGTACTCACCAGCTTCTCGATGTTCACCAAACCATCGACAAGGGTCTTACTCCCCTCATGCAGGAAAGTCAAGTCTAGGGGATGGAGGAGAAGCCCATGTGAGGAAGAAGAGAGGAGGTCCAAAGGGCCCTTCCCCTCCCCCACAGCCCCTCACTAGGGGGCTCCTGTCCAGGTGGGCACTCAGAGCTGAGTGCCAGGGGTTGAGAGCCAGAACTGGGACACGGAGAGTGTGGCTAGAAGGGCACAGGAGTGACTCTCACCTTTGAGGATCAGAGGCACGAAGGGAATCACAGGAGGTTTCATCTTGGAGATCACTTCTCGGTAGCTTTTGTGGTTCCTGCAGGGGTCCTGGCGTTCCACAGAAGAGAGGTAAAGGGCAGATAGTCCCAGTGCACCTTAAAGATGTCCCCTACTCTTCCCTCATCCCCCTGCCCGAGATCCATCTCTGATCAGAGAGGGGCATGTATGGGTGTCTAGCTGGGGGTGAGGTGGGGAGGGGCTTGACTGTTCTCCCTTCTCCAAGGAAAAAGGGGGCAGTAATCCTCCCACCCCTCCCCTCCCAGCATGGGCTAGGGACAGTCTCAGGCACTAAAAACCTTGCAGGGAAGCTTGAGGAAGCAGGTTAAGGGGAACAGAGGGCCTCTGGGGTACAAGTCCAGGGGCAGATAAAAGAGCTGAACCCACTCACTGTCAGGTTCTCAAATTTGCGGAACAAGTTCTTGAATTTCCCTGGCAGCTTCTGCAGAGAGTTTGAAGGAAGGAGAAGGAATGTCAAAGTGGAGCTCCTTGGGTTTCACGGCAGCTCTGGCTAATCCCCACGTGTCAGAGGGGGAAGGGGCCTGGCTGTCTTGCAGGGGGCTGGCAAGCTGGTGGGTGGGGAAATAGAGTCAGCCCTTGGTGCGGTCTGGGGAGCTGGAAGCAGCCCAGGGGAACGAATTATTCTGGGGAATTCGAGCCTCTGCTTAGGCATACGCCATGCACGAGGGGCCTCACTGAGTGCTGGCTGAAATCCAGTATCCAAGTCTGCGACCTGGCCTGGGCTGCCTGCCCCCACTCCGGCGGGCATTCCGGCTCTTTACGATTTTGCACAGACACAGGGTGCATTAGTTAAGCCGCGTGCCCCGGGGGCTGGATCTGCCAGAAGAGGGCGCCTCCTTCCGCCCGGCACAAAGGCGGCCAACCGGCCTGCAGCAGCCGCCGGAGGCCGCACTGGGGTGCACCCGGGAGGCCAAGACCCCCGCCCCGCAGCCGGGCCAGCACAGGCGGGAGGAGAGGAAGGAGAGGAGAGGGCAGCCGTGTCATCACCTCCCAGGTGAGGCGCAGGCGGCTGACGGCGGCGTTGTCCAGCCCCATGACCACGGCGTAGAAGGACAGCAGGTCCTGGTTCTGCTTGCAGCTGCGGGGGGAGGGCGGGGGGGGGGCGAGGCGGGGTCAGTGCGCGCCCGGGGGAGGGGCTCCGCGCTCCCCCTCCGCCGCCCGGCCGCACTCACATGGCCGCGATCTTGAGGAACTTCTTGAGCAGCTGCGCGCGCTTGCCCGGGGCCTCGCAGAGCAGCACCTCGGTGGCCACCCAGTGCGTGACCTCGCTGCACCGCTGCAGCAGCAGCTCCAGGTTGGCCGTCTCCCGGCGGCCGCGCTCCCCGTGGAACACGTAGTCCACGAATTCCAGCTGCACCCACGGCGGCGTGGCGGAGCGCCCGCGGGCGCGTGGGGACGTCGGAGTGGGCAGGTGGCGGCGCAGGCGGCGGAGGGCAGGGCCGGAGGGCGGGCGCGGGAGGAGGGGCAAATAGGAAAAAACGGGGCCCAGACAGGTTGCAACAGAGATTGGGGGGAGGGGAGCAACATTAATCATGCTTTACTATCTACTGAGCACTTCCTAGGTGCCAGGTCCTTGAACCACCTGATAGACATTATTGTGACTGCCTTATTTTCTTTCTTTAATAGAGAACGGTTTAAAAGTACTAACCATGGATCAGGTCCCATGTAAGACCCACCTTACTAAGGGGGTCTCTCTCTTTGTCTTTTTTTTTTTTCAGATGGGGGACCTGAGTCTCAGAGGGTCTGGGGTGAGTTAGGGAATTGCCCAAGGGCACCCTGCCAGCCAGCCTTCTAACCCCAAGTTCAGCTGCACGTGGTGCCCGTCTCCAGGCCCCCCACGTTGGCACATTTCTCCCTCCAGGCCCCCAGCCCAGCACCAGTCACAATCCCCACCTCGTGCACACATCGGAAGAGCTCCCAGTGGAAGGCAGTAAGGTGGTTGGCAACGTCCTCGGGCTCCACTCGGTGGATCTCTGTGTCTCCAGGGGAGACCTGGATCTCCTCAGGGAGGGGCATCTGGTGGCAGGCAGGGGCACAGGGGCTGGACTCCACTCTGGGTTTGTGAGGTTCTGCCCACAGCCCCTCTGGGCCCTGGCTCCCAGCCAAGGCCTTGCCATGGGGTTCTTACCAGGGCCTCAAAGCTGTCCCGCGTGCAGGCAAACAGGTGGCTGTTGATGCCCAGTGTGGTGAAGACACAGTCTTCAGTGGGCTGGAGAAGGACCTTCTCTGCAGGAGAACGAGCTGCTCTGCCTCAGCCCCGGCCACCTGCACCCTCACAACCCCCAGCCACTGTCGCCATCCCGTCTGGAAACTCCTAACCCTGCACAGACACGTTCTAGACTAATGGGACTCGTGTTATGTTATCACCAGTTTATGCCATATTTATCTGAAATTTTTCAGATCATGATTTCTCTTGCATTCATAACCTCCTTTTTACCCCCAACATTCTTTCACAGCTCTTCTCTCATTCTATCATCCCGATGGCACTGGAACTTTTTTTTCTTGCCTCAGAGGAAGATAGGGCTCTGGCCATATGGCAGGCTTTCTGCCTTCTCACAGGGGTTGGAGGCCCACCCTGTGTTTTTAACCTCAAAACGTAGCATCCTCAGATGCTCTGGTTAAAGAACCAGATCCCAAGGTGAGGAAGAGATAATCACCTGGATCCGAATCCAAGTGTCTTGGACCAGTGCTTTCCAAACTTTAATATGCATAGGAATCGCCTGGGAATCTTGTTAAAATGCTCATTCTGAATCGGTGGGTCTGGAGTACCGTGTGAGGTACTGCAGCTTTAATAAGCTCCCAGGTAGGTGATGCTCATGTGGCTGGTCCGGACCACAGTTCGGGTAGCCAGGGCCTACAATTCGTCTTTACCCCCGCTCCAGAGCACTGGGCTTGTGAGTTTCTCCTCTCCTGCCCACCCCCCCACCCCCCCCACCCCCCTGCCCAGCTCTTCCCGAGCCTCACCTCCAGAGGAAGCCACAGCTACCAGGATGAGGGAGTCCTCACGCCCCGCAGGCTCCTCCGAGTACTGCAATTTCTCTGTCACAGAGCCCAGGATGTCCTGCACAGACGCCGAGAGGCGGCTGCGGATGGTCACGTAAGAGTGGTCAGGCATGTAGACCCGGCAGAAGACTGAGCAGAGACAGGAAGGTGGCTTTGCATTAGAAGGCAGAATGATGGTGTTGACACAAGCCCCTCCAGCCCACATCTGTTTCCCAGTCCATCTCACCCCTAACCTTCAATCGGCTGACTTCTAAGAAACAGGCTGTCGAAAGGACAGGTTCTACTACACCAGAAGACTCCACCTAAGGTGCCCTAAGACGCAGAGGCCCCCGAGGGCCCTCTGAGCCGCTCTGGAAGCTCTGCCCATCTTGATGCCCACACTCACTCTCATCAGAGCCCCGGAAGGCCACTCGGGTCTGCAGACAGGAGTCGATGCGGCGGAAGTGACGGAAGAGTGGCTTCACTTGCTTGCTGGGTGGCTGGCTTTCCTCTGGGATCCTGGCATGGACACAGCTGGGCGTAAGGAAGTCCTGTCACGCATACGGAGCGCCAGGCAGGCAACATCAAGCAAGGGATTATCAGAACCGAGTCAAGGATGCACCAGCACCAGGTTCAGAAAGTGGTGAAGGAGGTCAGAAGGGAGACAATGACCAGCATGGGACAACTGTCCAAGTGACCCAGATCATATGCGACCTCTTCCATGAATTCTCTGATCCACCCCACACACCAGGAAAGGTCACTTTTGGGCATCAACTGCTGTAGGGCACTGGCCTAATATTTGTTTTGGTTTTTTTTTTTAAAGATTTTATTTATTTATTTGAGAGAGAATGAGATAGAGAAAGAGAGCATGAGAGGGGGGAGGGTCAGAGGGAGAAGCAGACTCCCTGCTGAGCAGGGAGCCCGATGCGGGACTCGATCCCGGGACTCCAGGACCACGACCCGAGCCGAAGGCAGTCGCTTAACCAACTGAGCCACCCAGGCGCCCCCTAATATTTGTTTATGTGCATATCTTATCTCTTCTGCAAGACTGAGAGCTTTTGAGGGCTGGGCTTAGTTCTTCCTGGATTTTTTTTTCCCACCCTCCAGGCCAAGCACACTACTTGGCACATGGTAGGTGTAGGTCATCCGCTGTTTCCTGAATTTTGCCGACAAGGACTTCCACAGCCTGGGAGGGAGACAGACGTGTATACAGCTACTTCTAACACGAGACAGGAGGTGTTAGGTGATCTAACAAAGGTACAAGGAGAGTCCTGTTGGCATGAGGGAGGGGGATCTTTCATTAAGAAGATGGTATTTGACTGGAGCCTTGAAGGACAACAGAAAGAGAAGCGGTACAGGTGGTCTTTCTTGGATGGACCATGTAAATGACAGCAGGAATTTGGGGTTGGGAATGCCCAGGAGTTCAGGGAATGGTGGGGTGTATAGGGAGTGTCATGGGGGCTGGGGGATGTGGGAGATGAGGCGGGAAGCATCAGCAGAAAGGCAGGGGCATTGAATGCTGTGCAAGGGTGTTACAATTTTGTCTTGTGGGCAATAAGGAGCCCTGGATGTTTTTGAAATGGGAGCATGATGTCGTCAAACTGGAAAGATCTCTCTGGTGTCAGCATAAGAAGGGAGAGGACACAAGACCATGAGCTGAAGCCCTGGGCAGGAGGCTGTGGCAATAATCCAGGTGAGAGCTAATGAGGCCTAAACGAGGGTAGTGGTGGTGGGAATGGAGTGGAGAGAGACTGAAATGGTCAGAGGGATGGATGGACGGATGGACGGATGCAGTGGAGTCCTGAAGCTGGCTCACATTGGCTCATGAGAGCAGATTGTGAAATTTGGTGAGATTCTGCCTATGGGTTTTTAAACAGCCATTAATAAAAAAAAATGTTTTATAAACTTCTAGCCACATTATTACCACAGAAGGTAGTATCCTGTTTTACTATATTTTGCTATTATCTATGCTCTTGATGTTATTTACCTCTCTTGGATTTGTGGGGTGAAAATACTACGTAATGACCTGCTACTGCACATTTCTTTGCAACTTCACATTCAGTGACGTCATGTCAGTAGCTGGAAATCAGCCAGTGAGAGAATTCACACCATGGGAATCAGCAAAAGCTACAAATAGGGGCTTTTTTTTTTTTCTCCCTGAAGTGCTGGTTGTTAAATATGTACCAGTACACCATTGGATTAACAAAGAAATGGATGAGAGAATGGACAAGAAAGTGACTGGAGGCCGTGCTCTGTGCTACCCTCTAGCAAGAGAAAGGGGCTGAAATAAAACCACATTGGAGTCAGAAGGCCAGAGGCAGTTCCTGTGACAGAGGAACATGGGCGACTTCTGTCCTATCCCTCCCCCAACCCATTCCCCTCACTTTAGCTCCACTGTTTCCACAAGCTGGTGCAGCCTCAATGTGTCCTCTCGGAGGTCCTGGTAAAGGGACTCATCCTTCATGATCAGCAGGTACAGATCCTGGGGAGCAGAGGAGAGAGAAGATAAAGGCAGGGGTCTCATCCCAAACTTTGCTATCGGCAAGGGCTGGGGCAGGGTCTCCATGTCTTTGAACATAGAGGAACCATATAAACTGAGGTCCACTGGCATCTTCTCCTTCCAGGTACCCAGCTTGAGGAGTATGGCTCCTTCAAAGGAGCCCCCTTCCAGAGCTAATAGCCTGCTCACCCGCCTTCTCTTCCCAGGCCCACCTTGATGATGTGGCCGGCCCCCTCTTCCTCCTGCAGCAGCCCCTGGTAGGTGTCCAGGAAATGAAGGAGCATGGCTAGACAGGCCTGCTTCCGGCCCAGCCCCTCAGGGCCCTCCATGCCTCCTGCCCAAACAAAACTGACCCCTTAGTTAAGAAAAAGCCCTGGGTAGCCAGACCCGAGGAAACTGGGAAGGGAGATGAGAAGCAGGGGGTAGCTAAACCCTCCCAAATATTCTCTAGGTCTGGGGCCAGGGAGAAGAGAGGTCGAGGGGTCCCTAGAGCCAAGACCCCTTCATGCCCCAGCCTGGGCTTTTGCTCAGAGTAGGTAGGGATGGCACCCACTTGACCACGTCCATCTGACCACATCCTGCCTGTTTGAATTTCACCTGGAGATAGCCTGCCTGGACTCACCCAATCTCTGACCAGCCCATAACCTGGAGCTGATAAAGGCCAATGATGCTTACCACAAACCTGACCATACCTCAGTGTAAGGCCTGGTGTTTCTAAGAGAGCCTACGGTATTCTACTCAGTGGCCTGACGTGTACAATTAGATCCTAAAATAACTCAGTGTGAGGCCCTCTGCTTACATGAGACCCTACGAATAGCCTGGCCAGTGGCCTGTCTCTAGCAGACCCCGCTGAAGCAGAGCCGTGACCTGATGTTTACATCAGACCCTATAATAACCCACTGGGCAACCAGATGTTTAGAGCAACAATTCAGCGGGGAGAGAGGCTCTCTTAATAGAATAATAACACCTTACATTTGCACAGGGCTCTGCAGTCTCCAGAGCACTCCCACATCAACTATCAGATTGATCTCCACAGCAGCCCCATAGGTAGGCAGGGCAGGTGTTATTTACCCCCTTTTTACAGAAGAGGAAACTGAGGCCCCAGGAGGTTAGGTGGTCTGCCCAAGGTCACACAGCTGGTGAGTAAAACCCCTGGAATTGAAACCCAGGTGTGTTTCCTAGGGAAGCACCCAGGCCCTGATATTACATGTGGGGTAGGGGGAGTGGCTTCCTTCTGACCTCCCCTATTGCAAGCTCCATAAAAGGATATTACTGGTGTAGCTCCTGCAGAAATTTCTCCGTGGGGAGGAAGAGAGAATGGGTGAGGACGATGTCATCCAGCAGAATATCTGTAGAGATCAATTGGCGCCACTGATGTCAGGCGGGCACTCCCAGGACCCGACTGGACACTCACTACCCACCCCCTTGCCTCCTAGAGTGAGTTCTCCTTAGCCAGGCTGGAGCCCCAGCCACCTGCCCTGTCATGCTCTGCACAAGAGTGCGCGCGCGCGTGCGCACACACACATACACACACACGTGTGAAGGTTCTGGGCAGCCGCTGCGGGGGTGGGGTTGGCAGCTGCCAAGGCAGCTGGAGGGAAGGAGGGGGCGCCCTTTGATGGCCACGCCCACTACTCTTCAATGCATGTGGAAGCTGGTCAGATAATACACCAAGCTTGAGATCTGCCCCAAAAAAGAGGTCGACCACAGAAGTGTCTCTAGACAAAGAACTTGTAAACACAGAGGTTAGGGTCAGTGGGGTGTATGTGTGTGTGTGTGTGTGTGTATCCCTCCTCCCCTCCCTACTCCCTACCTAACAGCTCTGAGTTCCAACTGGGCAGGTGAGAACCAGCCCCATTAAAAAGGAGAGGGAGTGACTGCCATCTCTTTGATCCCAAAAGCCTTTAAATAGAAGAAGCCCTGTGTCCTCTGGATGCCCAGAGATGGAAGGGTTAATGATGGAAGGGTGGAGGGGAGTGGCTCTCACCACCCTTTTCCCCTCCACTCCCCCATCTGGGCCTGGCTCAGCCAGTCAGCCAGGTACAAGGTCGCCCTGACTTGCAGCCAGCCCTGGGGTGGGGCAGGGCAGCCTGGCACACAGAGACAGGCAGGGCGCAGGGAGGGATCCAGGTGTCCTCACCAGGACAGGTTAGGGCCAGGTCCCCAGGCACTGCCCCAGGACAAAACCAAGGCTTCTGACGTCCCTTGGCTCACCATCCCCTGGCCTCTGTTTCTAGTCATGAAGGTAGAGGAGGAGAACCAACACCAGATTCTCTACTCAACTGTTGCATTTCACAAATGAGAAACTGAGGCCCAGAGCCGGGAGGGACTTGCCTGGAGCTGGAGTAGGAACCCAGACTCCTGAGTCTTTGTTCTTTTCTCAATATGCCCGAGGCAAGCTGCGTGTCAGGGTAGAGCACAGAGGTTAGATAGGGCTGCTTAGATGTTTGCCAGCCTTTGACTGGTTTGAGGATAACTTCTGTAAGTCCCCCCTCCCACACACTGTGGGAGGAAGCCAAGATGGCTTGAGAACATTGCTTATGTTGGAGAATATCAGAGTGGCAGGTTAAGGTGATTCTCATTTACCCTGGGACTAGTTTGAGGTTCCCCAAAGCAGTTACTCTGGGCATCTAGCTTGTCAGCCCAGGTTCTAGGGTGACAATCAATTCAAGAGTCCTTCCCCACGAGAGACCAGGCAGAGTGTGTGGCACCAGATCCCTGTGGAAGGGGAAAGACAGATTCTCCCTTTTCCTCTTTGCCTCGCTACCCTGCTATGTTCATAAAGTGAGTCTGAGAACCCCAGCCATGACCCCTGGCTCCAAAGATGGCGACAAGGAATAGGGATGCCCAACGTCCTTCCTATCTATCTCATGGGAGAGCCAAGCCAGAGCAAAGGAAGAGGAACATGGGGCAGAGTGGGGGAGATGCTGCTATGGGGGCTACAGTTTGGCGTCTGTCTCTTCCAAGCCAGGCTCTGGTCCAATGCACAGACTCCCCAGGGAATGTGTCATAGAGACACAGGGTGTCTGGTGTAGGCGGGAAGTTATGGTTAGGAGAGCTGTGTGTGTCTGATATTTTTCTAATTAAATCCAAAAGGTGTCAGCTCCCCAGGGCAACGACAACTGAGCCAAGGAGAGGACCCAGGTCTTGAGAAAAATCTAGGGGAGCGGTGTCCTCTTCCATAAGCCTAGGTCCAGGCTCCCTGCAGAGGTCTAAGAGCAAGGTGTGAAACCCTCATCTTTAGGCCCTCAACCAGGGCTCCCATCCTCAGACCCTGCTGGGTTTAGTGAAATGCTGAGAGGCAGACCTAAAGACCCATCGGTCTTCTACCTCCACCACTAACCAGCAGTTTGGGGCCTCAGTTTCCTCAAAGTCCCCTTAGTAGGGGTGCTGGTGGGGAGTGGTGAAATAGCATCATCATTTAGGGAATAAGCTTCTCAGGGTGTGGCTGTTATTTTTTGAAGAGGCCGTGTGTTGAGGCCTGTCTTGGGAAGGGCGGGAGTTGGAGGGGCTCAGAACCCCCCCAGGATGATGCAGGGTCCTGATGTCTGTCTGCCCAGCCACCTCTCCCCCAACAAACACCTTCTGAGCCAACCCCCAACTAGGACACCTCCTTCCCCCCAAGCTGCTAAGGACAATGCATCCCTTTGCCCGAGCCCAAAAGGCAGCTTGGGCCCTGAGCCTGTCTGGCACTGCCCCACTGAGTGGGCCAGCCAGCCCTGTGCTGTGGGGCTTCTAGACAGAATCAGGGACTCCTAGAAGGTCTTTCAGGTCTTGGAAAGCATGTCTTGGGGTGGGGGTGGGGGGGCAGAGCACATCTTAGTGTGTCAGGCCTTAATTTGGGGCCACAGAAGGAGGTAGTCAACATCAGGGACCCATGAGAATCTGTGGGTAAAATGTCCAGGAGAAAGGAAGGGTGGCTTAAGGAGAGAAAGAGGTTCAGCTTCTCTGTGGGTGAGACTGCTACAGGGAGGAAGGTGGCACTGCTGCTTCCCTTCTGCATAAGGGTCTGTTCCTCTCCTAGGCCGCTGCCCCACTTCAGCTGACCGCTCAACCCCACACCGAGGCTCCCGGCATAGCGCCACCCCCACTGTCCAAGGGCAAGGAAGAGGAACCAGGTAGCAACCCCCTACTCCGGGATGGATGAGCCTTACCTGAGGCAGCGCTGTCCCTGGTGGCCCCTCCGGCGAGCCGCTCCAGCACCCGGTTCAGAAGATGCTCCGGCCGCTCGGGGGCGCCCAGGGGGGCCCAGGGCGGGGAGGTCAGGGGTTCGCCCGGGGACAGCTCGTCAGAGGAGTACGAGGAAGGGGAGCGCAGGGGCCCCCCTCCCCCGAGCGGCCCGGGCCCCGGCACCTCCTCGAGCTGTAGCCAACAGGGCCCCCCGCTGCCGAGCTCCTCCACGACCCCCGCCGGCTCTCCCCCTTCCTCTTCAGGGGGCGGCTCCAGCCCCGGCTCGGCGGGGGGCTCCCGGAGGAAAGCGGGGAGCAGCAGGCGAGACACGCTCTGACGCCGCTGCAGCGGCCGCAGTCCTCCGGTTGGACCGCCGCCCCCGCCAGGTCCCCCGCCCCCGCCAGGCCCGCCGCAGCTTCCCGGACCCCCGCCGGGACCTCCCGCCACCGTTCGCCCCGCCAGCTGCGACGTCTGCTTCTTCAAAAATTTCTCCAACGGCTTCATGCCCCCCCCCCCCGCCCCTCTCCTCGGGGCCGCCGGGGGACCCAGGTGTCCCAGGCGCGGGCGGGGGGGGCGGGGACACGATGCTCAGAGCCTGAGAGGCAGAGCGGAGGGCTGTGCCAGGCGCCGGACTGGGGGCCAGAGGTGCCCGAGGCTCGCTGGCCGGGGTCCAGTGGCCAGTGGCCCGGGGAGGTGCCAGAGGGAAAGAGTGCTCGCTCTTAGTGGCCCCCCATGTCGGCTGCAGCCGGCACGCGGCCCGGAGGGCGGGTAGGCTGCGGGGCCAGTGCCCCGGGCTCTGCGCTCCTGGGCCGGGCTGCGGCGGCAGAGACAGCGGGCGGAGCGCAAGGCTGAGAGAGGACGCGGCGGAGGCGGCGGCGGCGGCGGCGGCGGCGGCGGCTGCGCTCCTGGCAGGGGGGAAGGTGGCAGAACTGAGACCGCGCCCCCTCCTCCAGTCCCCGCCCAGTCCCCGCCCCTGCCCTCTCTGGACCCGCCCCCTGGGCCGCGCGAGGCTTGAACTTGGGCGCCGGGGCTGGCCTCGGGGGAAATAGTAAGGGGCTGAATGGGATTGGCGTCAGGGCAGATGCAGAAATAAGGGCAAAAGTGATGGAGTGATTTACCAATGGAGAGTGAGTCCTGGTTTGGGGGTAACAGGGGCTCTTAAGTATCATTTCAAAGAAGTAGAGCAGGTGTGTGGCTTGCACAATTTGGGCTTACCTGTACTCAGGTGAGGCCTACAAAGATTGCTGATTGGGTGTCCATCACTCTCAACCCCGACAGTATGTTCTGTTGCCATATTTGTGGTCTTTACGTTCCTTCTATAAGAAGGGCTGGAAAGGCCTGGGGTGGATTGGCATTGGCACTGGGGGCGGTGCCCATCTGCCCTTTCTGGTAGGGCACAATAGGTGATGAGGGCCTGGCTTGTGAGAGGCAGGTACCGGCAGGCAGGTAGGATCCAGGCAGGGAGCAGCAGGTTGTGGCAGGTCTAGTTGGGGTGAGGAGAAGAGAGAGGAGGCCGGGGGGAGGGGGGCGCGGGAGATGAGGAGTATAAGGGCACCTGAGCCCAGCTGGCAGCAGGAGACAGCAGGGCCACGGAGATGAGTGACAAGCTCTAGAACTGCCGTCCAACATCATTAAGCATAGAGAGCCCCTCCGGAGCTGACATGGCCATGAAGTAGGGAAAGGGGTGCCAATTTGCACTCTCAATGATCTTTATTCCTGATGCCTGTGCCAGGAGCATTCTGTCCCTAAGGATACACTGCCCTTAGGAGTGTGGATGTAGAGACACACTCAGTGTAAACACATCAAGGTTAAAATAACAAGGTGGGGGAGTGGCACCAGGTTCCAGAGGGATTGAAGCTCCTTGGACAATGCCCCACCCCTGTTTACTGTGCAGGGACCAGGCAGGGACAGGAATGCTAAAGGCTGGGAGTGGTGGTTGAACTGAACAGGGTGTGTACTACACACATGTCACTGTGTGTGCATATCTGGTCCTATGTGTGCTAGAGCATGTGTTCACAGAAATAAAGCTTTGCACACCCATCTGTGGATTTCGAAAGGGAATAGTAAAAGGGAGAGAGCAGTTTTGGCTAAGAAGCTGGAATAGAGATCCAAGTATCAGCTTGCTGGGCTCCCTTTATTGGACACCCCACTATCCCTGGGGTTAAGAGGAGAAACTGGCTGGAGTGGCTAGGAGCTCCCCAGGCATTTTGTGAACCAAATAAGAAGACGAGAGGGCTCCACTCCCAGCACATGCCACAGTTACCAGATTAAGCTGGTTGCCTTGGTAACCTCCTCTCTGGGCAGGATTTGGGATTGTCGTTAGGAAGGGGGAAGAATTGGGGAGTGTGGAGGGTGTGGGGGCTGGAAATAAAACAGGCAGACACTTCTGGAAACTGAAAGCTTGGGGAGTAAGACCCCAGCACCCCTGCAACTACTCAAGGATATTGGACAGAGACTAAGTTCAAGGACTTTAATCAGGAAGGAAAGCCAGCACTGAGTCATGGCCCTCCTAGAACAGTGGTTCTTGCCCCAAGTGCACACTGGAATCCAGGGGAACTTCTCAAAAATACTGATGCCTAGGCCACACTCTAAACCAGTTAAATCTTTGAGGCAAGGCCAAGGTTTCTGGTATTTTTTAAAAGATCCCCAAGTGGTGCTCACTTCAGCAGCACATATACTAAAATTGGAGCTATATAGAGATTAGCTTGGTCCCTGCACAAGGATGACACGTGAAAGATCCCCAAGTGATTCAAATAGCCAGGGTTGAGGATCACTGCCCCAGAGGGACAACCCAACCCAAGTGGGCTGCCAATGCTGGAAGACAACTTCAGGATTTGAAGTTCTTACTGTTCTGGATCGCCCACAAGGTAGTAGGCCTGAGCGTTGACCCCACAGAGGAGGGGGGGCGGCATGGAATTATCAAGAGTGGTATCATTAACAACTGTGAGATGGTGGCAAAACAACTTTGAGCCCAGACCCTAGAAGGGGATGGGGCAAGGCTACCTAAGGCTGATCTGTCTGCCCTTTGTACTCCCTTTCTGCCCACCAAGAGGCGGACTGGTAGGGCAGACAACCTGGGAGCTTTGCTGAGCTTGAGTTTCTTCTTGCAGAGCTCGTTACCAAGGCAACAGAGAGCAATGGGATCTAACCGCAGGACCAGGGAAGCAAGAGGCAGGGGTGAGGGGGAAGCATCGTAACAGTCATTTCTCCTGCCAGTAACCTACCCCCAAGACTGCCTGGCATGACCTCAGGAGATCAGGCTCATAGTTACCCATCACCCTGTGGGGGAAGAGGAAAGCAAATGGACGTGAAGAGGAATTAGGGATAGGGGTTAAAAGAGTCACGGTCCGCGAGCTCAAGCAGCAGCACCAAGGGATGCAGGGGGAGTCCCAACTATTTTAAGGTATACTATGATGTCCATGCCCCCAATGTACAAGGATTTGTGGTAACCAAGAACAGATGCCACCAGCTCCACATTCAGTTCAATTGCTCCCCCACACCAGATCAACCTCTGTAGTAAACTTCCACCCCACCCAGGATCTGGAAGAAAACAAAGCTAGGAACTGACCTGTGCACATCAAGGGCCCAGTGGCCTTGGTAACTGGCAGCATAAACCACAGATGATGGTCTCAATTGCTCCTCTTAACCTTGACGAAGATCGAGAGAAGCCTTCCTCTTAGGCTGTGGTTCTTGGTACTTTAGTGCCAGCGTGTCTTTACTTTTCAAGAAAGCTAACCACCTGTGCCTCCCCCTCTTCTAGGACCTGGTACAGTTGTACTGACACGGGGCACATTACACTGGAAAACTCACTTGCCGAACACTAACAAAGGCGACAAGGATAGCTCCGTTTCATTAGTTTTTCTGTCCCTGACACTTCCAATCCAAGAGACTGCATGGTATCCTGGGTCTATGTGGCAATGGCGTTAGGATAAGATAACCAACGGGGAGTACAGACACACCTGTGGGCTCCTCACCTCTCAGGGCTTCCATTTCACACGTCTTGAGTTGGCTCGAGTTGTGACTGTGGCTCCGGGGAATCAGCAAGTCCTCTCCTATCCCTCCCAAATCAAGACTCATACAAAACACTGGCAAAGGAGCCAAGTTTACAGCCTAAATTTTATTACCTCCAAGTCACAATGCTGATCACAAATGTGCACCCTTTAAAATAGTAACAAACAACAACAACAACACACATGGAGAAATTCTTGCAACGAAACACAGTGGACCAACAGAGACAACTGTCACAGTGTCTTAAGGTCTGGGAATCTGGGCATGCTGCCCACAGGCTTGAGGAGACATCTTCAGGTTTAAGGCAAAGGGGACAGCCTACAAAAGGCACAACCACCAGCCACCCCTGGAAGAATCTCTTAGTTATTTCCTCCTTGGGGTTTACAGTTTGAGTGCCTCTCCCCACTCCCCACCCCACACCTGTGACTCAAGAGTGGTTAGATCAGCTGCTATAGAGAAGGAATAGAAACAGTGACATTACTTGGGGAGACACAGCCACCACCATCTCCCTCGGGTTCTGTAGGACAGGGACAGTGGCCAAGTTACTCCTGGCAGACACAAGTGCTGCAGCAATAGGAATCTCTTCTGCAGAGGCAGCAGGGGAGTGGTTCAGCGCTGTGGATAGGGAGGAAAAGAGGGAGGAGCCCTTGCCCCCAAAGTGACTGGTTTCCTTAGGCCTGAAGCCCAGATGTGGTTTCTTCTGTTTGCAGGGACAGGAGCAGAACTTGGGGAAAATCAGGTAGTAACATCTAAAACACTTGTAGCAGGAAAAACATGGAGAAGAGCAACTGCAAAGTACAAGACAGACCGCTTGCTGGACAGTATCTGCCTCTAGAGAGATGCATTGGTCCACAGCAACTGGGAAGGGGGCGTGGTAGGTAGGATGGAAAGAAGAGAAGCAGGGCCCTCTAATTCCACTTACCTCAAAGACTGAGCCCTGAGGACTATGTGAATACAGACCCCTAAGGTGAAAAGGCTTACTCCACTTTCCCTTTCTCACAAAAGCATCTGGTTTGCCACCTCTCCCCACTGTAAAAGACTTTGCCCTCAAGTAGAGGACTGATGCCTACCACAGTACAGGGACTGATGGGAGGCTCAGATTCCTGAAAACCGAAGTCAAGAAGAAGGGCTCCTACCACACAGTTTGAGCTTTTCTCTGCAATGAGACACTCTGTGGACGGCTCTGCTTCCATAGGGTTAGAGGAATTAAGAGAATCCAAGTATATAATAACAAAGGCCAGCCAAAAATGAAAGGCTTGGTGGGGGAAAACTGGCTGGTAAAATTTCAATTATCTGGGATGCAGGGAAAATCCAAAAGGGAAACCAGAGGAGCTAGAAAATCAGAAGAATGAACCTGTCTCATTTAAAGGCAGAGAGAGAAAGAAACTAAAAGAATATTAATTTAAGAATAGCAAGCCAGGCTTTAAAAACGAACATCTTAGGAAACAAAACAAACAGGAAGGAGCTTCCCTGGGAGAAGACATTTGAATTTCCCAGGAAAAAGTGAAGAAGAGTAAAAGACAGGGGCTTCTAGATGCAGACCCAGAAGCTTGAGCTGACTGGATCTCTGCTCCTCTGAGCACAGCCAACTCAAGTAAAGAGTGGAGATGGGAGGAAGTCCACTTGTTTGTCCCTTTCTCCAACAGAGCCTGTCCTCAGAGGAGGGCAGGGGTCCTTCTCATTCAGCTGCTTGCTGGTAGGAGCCACCCTATATCTTTGAAGCCTTCCTGGTATTAAACAGCCAGTTGTATTTCTCTTCTTTCCTGGGTTCTCTGACAGTGGTGGGGAAAAGGGAAGAATGAGCAAAGCATTAATGGACCTTCTGGGCATTTACAAGCTGTTTTCAAAAAGCCACATTCCTAAATAATGTGTTTTAAAATAAAGTCCCTAACAAAACAACAACAAAACCCCCATGGTCTTTCTCCATGACCTTTAAAATTGGCTCTGCTGCAAATACCTCAAATTTAGATTTCCCCTTTCCTTAAAAAACAAAAACAAAACAAAAAAAACCGTCCTGCATTTTTTCCTTGCAGCTTCCCAAATGAAATTCTGCCAAGTTAACAATGGTTTCTGCTTCAACCCTGCTTAGTGCATTCCCAAAACAAAGCAGCTGGCAAATTTTGAGACTCCTATAAGCCAACCCATAAGATACCTCATGATTACAGCTTAAAGCACTAATTAGGGAATTATTAAGCAAGTAAAGCATGAGCATTAGTTTTAAAAATTTATAAGAATCGTAGTACATTATATACTTACTTTTATATGTTTGATTTAAATTTTTTAGAAACTCCTATTAACTGGAACCCCTGCTTACAACCTGAAATAACAAAGTTAGAATTTGTTACCAAGTCATTAAAACAACCAACCAACCATGGAGACACACCCAGAAAAGGAGAGAAATCTTCTAGGGGAGAGGAAAGCCCAGTCATGTTGGAAGCAGCTCTCATACCTCAGGTGGTGGGGGCTTGATGGTGACTGGCTGGGGAGTCCTCCGGGGTGGGGAGGGCTTTGGCTGCACCTGCTGCTGGGCGGGGTTATAGTAGGTCACTCCTCCATATACCTGTGATGGGGCCTGGGACCCCAATAAGGCAGAAAAAAAAGTTAGGGATACATTCACCTAAACTATAATGAACAGGAAACATTATTCAGGCACAAAAATAAAAGTACTGAGGAATTTTATAAATCTCTAAGCTGCCCCCCTTTAAAATAAGTGATTATTCATTTCTGCCTCACTATATCCTAATTATGTTCCGGTTCCTACTTCTTCAAAGTACTACTTAGCTTTCTCTAATTCCTACCATCAACTGAAAAATCAAAGAGGCTGAGCTCAGTGGTGACACTTCACATACAAGATGGTGTCAACCTGTTGGGAGTTAAGCAGTACAGGGAGGGGTAAGGATAATGCAGCTTCTTTATTCAACTGAATAAACGGCAGAGATGGCCACCTAAGACATACCAAAACACCTGAATGAAACACCATTAAAGAAACAGAAGAGGGCGCCTGAGTGGCTCAGTCCGTTAAGCATCTGCTTTCGGCTCAGGTCATGATCCCAGGAGCCTGGATCAACCCGTGAGCCTGCTTCTCTCTGCCCCTCCCCCCTGCTCACACTTGTGTGCTCTCTCTCTCCCTCAAATAAATAAAATCTTTAAAAAAGAAAAAAGAAACAGAAGAGAATAAATAGATGATGGGCATTACATAAGCTGCATTTCCAGCTCCTGACCACCAAGAGGCATCCTGGCGCCACATGCAAAATCAGTGGCATTGAAATGTTCTCTCAAATTCCTTAAGCATTCTCCCCACACCACATCCTTATCTGATTTAAAGGATGCATACCTAGAAAAATCTGCTCATTAGCCATCTCACCTGCGTATTAGGATACAGATGAGGCGGCGGTGGGGGAGGCAGTGCCCCTGGAGCATAAGGGTAACTGGGATTACCAAAGTTCATGACGCCTGGAGCAGAAAAGTAAGTAGGAGCAAGCAACTGCTGAGGTGGTGGCTGTCCTGGAGACATGGACACTGGTGGGGGATAGAGGCCCGGACTGGGCAGAGGTGCCGGTGTCTGGTGGGGATGTAAACCTGGACAGGAAGAGGAAAACAAAAACTGAAATAGAGGATGGCACCATTTCCATGGGATGGCTTGGCTGCCCTGCTCAGCACAGACTCAGGATGGAAGTCCTCAGGATGGACCCAAGAGAAGTTTGTTGCCCAAGCTGCCAGAGTGAGCAAGCAGCACAGAGCTCAAGAGAATGGAGTTTGTGAAGCCCCCAACACATATCCTCACGTACTGGAAGCATACAAGCAGAGGTGCAAAGCTTACCTGGGTGGGGAAGGTGCATTTCTGGCTGCACAATCATGCCCTGAGGAGGCAGTGGGGCAGGGCTGTCACCATGGGTATAGATTGGTCCCTGGAACTGCACTGTAAGATATCACATTGGGACTCTCATAAACCCTCACTCTTCATATCACATGGACAAATCTCCTTGTCCCCCAAACCCTTTAAAAGATGCTCTCTCAATTTCCCATGTGAAGAAAACAGCAGCCAGACAATGTTTGATAACCACTGTGAGAAGTCAGAAGGGAAATCCAGGAGGCAAGAGGCTGGTCTCTTAGTTCACTTCATGCTGCCGAGAAGGGTGCCCCAATAATAAGAGAAAACTCACGTGGATCATAGTAATGTCCCTCCATGATACTGATGTGCACAGGAGGAGCAGGGGGCTCTGGCACAGGTCTTTGCCGCTGAGATGAATAGCGTTTGGCTCGCCCACCCTGGACACCCTGAAATAAAGAGGTCTGAGCAAAAAGACTGCCAGAGGGCTGACTCTCAATATCAAGTCCCACCCTACTTTAGGTGCTGCAAAACACACACTTGGTACATGGCACGTGTTTAAACAGTATTTGCAAAATGAGGGGTGCCTGACTGGCTCAGTCAGAAAAGCGTGCAACTCTTCATCTTGGGGTTGTGAGTTTGAGCCCCACATGGGTGTAGAGATTACTTAAATAAAGGAAAAAAAAAAGTGAGGGGAAAAAAAAAGAGTAGGGGCACCTGGGCTCAGTCAGTTAAGCATCCAACTCTTGATTTTGGCTCAGGTCATGATCTCAAGGTCATGAGAATGAGTCCCGTGTCGGGCTCCCCGCTGAGCTGAGCCTGGAGAACTGCTTAGGTTCTCTTTCTCCCTCTGTGCCACTCCCCTCCCTGCCCTGCACTCTCTTTTCTCTGAAAGAAAAAGAGAAAGAAGAGAAAGAAAAGAAAGAAAAGAAAGAAAGAAAGAAAAAGAAAGAGAAAAGAAAGAGAAAAGAAAGAAAAGAAAGGAAAGAAAGAAAAGAAAAAAGAAAAGAGAGAAAAGAGTATTTGCAAAATGAATTAGAAAAACCAATGAGAAACATCAAGATCTGAACCTAGGCCTTGCTACCCTTTCTGGAGAGCCAAATTAAAAGAAATATGGGTATGGGCGCCT